TGATCTGCTTCCTTCTTAATGTGGTCTTTGAATCTTGAAGGGTCTTGTACAAGTCAGAAAACACACTCAAACAAGCAGGGAAACTTTTAGCTCAGGACTGCAGCTTGAAGGAGTTTACTTAGTACAACATGTAGTTTACATTCCTGACATTGTTTTCTCTAAATAAAGTAATTTACATCAGACAGAGGCTTTTAAAAGTGAGACCACACTAAGGCAATGTGATTCTTATTGAAAAAAAATGTCAACAGGGTGAAAATAAAGTGACAAAAGTATGTAGCATCATCCTTTTGAACACAATTGTGTCAATTGCTTTATAACAATAATAAACGATATATAGATGGTAAAAAACAATTAGTAGACGATTTTAAAATGTGAGTCACTCTAATTTCGCCATTAACATTGGTTAAGTTCCTCCGGTACTTGTTTGTGCTGACAATCACAACATTAAAAGAGAAGAGATATCAGTGAGTAATCCGTTTCACAAGGAAGTTGAAGATTTGTACAAAAAGAATACATGGAAATGGTGAAATGACTGTCTCTGATTCATTCATCACAATGCTGACGCACTGTTGAACAAAACAAGTTCTGGGGAAAAGTGTTTCGAAATTGGGATCTCAGCCAACGTTTTCCAATGAAGCCTTCTTAAATTAAATGCAGCACAATCTTATTATTATTTTATTTTTTTGCCATGAAGTGTGTGCATCTGCGTCCGCATCTCTGACTCTCAAACCTACTATTTGAAGCCTCTAAACTCAACTATCATTTAAAGTGCTTTATGCCACTGCCAGTTGGAATAGTTAGGGAGCCACTTTCCAAAACAGGGTGTCCTGAAACGCCTCCACCCCCATATATCCATGTGTCAAAACAGCGGGGTTCTCGCCAACACAGCGCCAAATGTTTACAGCGAATCAGACCATGGCTTTCGTGTGGACGGAGAGAGGAGGTTATAACGGTCGCTAAGCGTGTGTAAAGTTAATGCCACCATGGCACTTGGCATCACATCAGTGTGCCCGGAGCGTGGTGGAAGAGCAGCAGAGAACCACACAGAGTGGAAAAAACGTCCAGAAAGCACCATGCTGCTGGACCCTGGCTACTCTATACCTTTCAGCCGCAGGCTCGAACCAAACAGAATCACACTCATCCATTTTCAGCACTGACAAATTACTGTTTCTGACGTCGTATGGATTAGGAACAATAACCTGCGACACACGCCGACGCTTTGGTCGATATTTAAACCCCTTTTCAGCTTTTTTCGACGCGGTCCACCGTTAGGCAGCCACATACAATGAATAAGTTGTAACCCACACAGCGACCGTCAAGTTATAAAGTGGCGAACTGCGTACGGTATGTGTTTTTTTAGCAAGGCTAACGATGTGTTGTAGCATTCAAATACATTAAATCACTCTGTTGAGTGCAACCTCACCTTAACTTAAGTGCAGCTCCGGGAAATCCGTGCAGCAACTTGCTCGCTCGCGACGTATGGCTGTTGTTCAACTTGTAGAGAGCCAGACTCCCAGCTGTGACACCGCTGTCAAGCTGCCTGCTATTACAGATACAACTTCCGGTCTGGACTTTCAAAATAAGTGGACCGAAAGTGCTCGCAACTGGCGCCTTTTGACTGAATAGCAACTTGTAATACTGGAACAAACAACACGGATAAATACTTTGGAATGCATTAATACTAAGCCAAATAAAGCCGCACATTATACGCTTTGTAATGTTTATTTCCGTTTTGTAATGTTTATTATTGCCTCACACACACAAGCTTTTATTTCTTTAGCCAGAAAGATGGCAAGTTCCGGTACTTTCAATGCCGGTGAAGTGAAGGAAACAACCGTATAAAAACTGTTATTTAAAGCTCTTCTGATATTATTAGACCTATTTACTCACCATTTAAAAAAATACATATCTTCTACTTGATTGTAGTTCACAGCTTTGTACTACTTTTTCGTTTATGTCTTTCTACTCCTATGATGCATCCTTCCTGTATTTACCTTATAAACAATAGGCTACGTCTCACAGGTCATGCCACTTATTTTACAGAAAGAAAGCGCACTTTCTAATTTACATAGATACATGTCATGGCTTTGGATCGTTATATGAAGGCACATATTATCCATGTGGGGAAAAACAGATAATGTCTTCCTATGACTACGTCCCTCTTTTCACCAGCTTCTGCACTATATTCTGGATTCATATCATGCTGTTTTTGTAATCTTACGCATTTTAATCATTAGTGAACCATCATAATGTTTTTCCTCCTTTAATGTCCGTGTGGGCCCACCAAATTGTTATCCAGCAACTGCTGGCATGCCATTCCTCAGACTTGTAATTCCCAGGTATTTTAAAGAAGTGAGGAAATCAATTATCACTGAATAATTCTACTCTGTAAGGGAAAAACTTCACTGGCAGCGAAAACGTCACTACTTTCCAAGAAAAAGACAAGGTTTCCACTTACAATTGTCTATTTTCATGTGAGATAAAACACATTGATACAATGTTCAATTAAGAACAGAGAAGATTTTATGGTTTATGTCTATGACATACATTAGGTTTCTTGTTATTTTCCTTAAGGAACAATTATTACAATTCTCTATATGTATATATTTTTGTTTTAATTAATCATACTTAATATTCTTCCAGCCAATTGTAATGTGTTCTTCTCTCTGAGGCTTGGCCCTTGTTTTATTAGCTCTTTGGTTTTCTTAACTTCTAACTGATATCATGAATAATAATCCAAGATTAAGAATTACAATATTTTATTCCAATGGCCTATCAGTCAATATTTCTGAATATAAACATTCAGAAACCAGAGCAGTCTAGACATCCTCTCCTGAGCTCACCTGAGCTAGCTAATGTTACAGCCCAGCCAATGAGGACCCCATTTTATATGTATGTTTTTTGCACAGCACCATCTCGTTCAATTATATTGGAGAAAAGGCAGACAACTCTACGCACGATATCTACAACAATGGGCAACTCACAACAATAGAAATTGATTAAAAAAAAAGCACTTAAGCGGAAAACAATTGTTTGGGGTGAACTGTCCCTTAAAATTAAAAAGGCTTCATGTGAAGCTTTGCCGACCTCTAGTGGGGGTTGGTTCTGTGCTGTAGTTCTTTAAGGAAACCTCTATAGGAATTCATACTGGTCATATCAAGTGATGGAATGTTGCTCTGATCATTTTCACTCATGTGACACAGAAGTGAGAGGAGGGAGAGGTGGACCGTCATGCTGAATCGGCACACTGCACTCTCTTCCCAAGGAAACCCAACACTGCAGGCCACTGAGACCAATCCCAAGAATGCCAAACACTCGCAATACATATTCTTACAATTGTGTGGGTTACCAGCATGGCAGCATGATATAAACAGTTGCAGGTTTCAACATGATGCTATTACATCTCATCAATCTCTCAGGGCTGCTGGCCTTCTTGTTTTTATCTTGAGAAAAGGGAAAGCAACTTGCTTTGATTGCTACACTCAACTCTTTTAATCTTCATAGTTCCACCACTGAACGTGGCTGTGGCAAACTTTCCTGACATGCTGAATTGATTACAGTCTGTCTGAAATAGCTTAGAGGCCACCAATAGAGGAAGGAGGAATATAATTCCAATGAATGACGTGGATTATTAACTTCAGAGAGATTATGTGCCGGGGGATAACCCATCAACACTAAATAAAATGCTGAGAGAAATGCCACCAGAAGTGTATCATTGGGGAGAAAAAAATGTAAGTCAGTCAAAATATCAAAGTTTGTCATGAGCTTAAGAAATGGACATATCAGTTGTACATTTATTAAAAAACATAAACATTTAAACATATATAGTAAATATACAGAGCACACATTTGATTTAAAGTGTTCACATTTGACAAACCTTAACAGCTGAAGATGCAAGACCACTGAGGATGGATGTTCCAGAGGAGCCCTGCTAACAATGAATATGAACATTTCTTGAGATTAATTTCCACTGGCGACAGATGCTGCTTTACGTTTGTATCTCTCTTAATAAGAGAAGTGCCTGTGTAGTTACCCTTTCACATCTTTGTCTTTAGGAACAGTGCCATCTGCTGTTACAGAGGTAGAGGGGAGGGACACACGCAAAGAGTGATCCTCACTACAACTCACTGCAATGCAGTATAAAAAACACCTGCGTGTTGCTCATCTCAGCAGCAACAGCATTCATTTTTAGGACTTAAAGAGCCACGTTTAGTTACTTCTCTCTGGTCCAATCAGACCCTAAATATAAAGCTACATTTTCATTGGTTAGACTCCTTGTGATCATACATCAAAACTAATTTGCAAACAAAAAACAGATGAAACGTAGGACCGAATAGTTACTGTCCATCAAAACACCAACAAATAAAAGCAGAGATCTGTGATGTTATTTTTATAACCAACATAGTGATATTAGATCCATCTGTATGGTAATGTTTAATAAAACATTACAATGGTTGCTATAACAGTTAGGTCTCACCTGTCTAATGGCCATTGCCAGTTCCATCTAGCTTAATCGCTTTAGTAAACTATACTGTGTATTCAAATTTACTTTTTCGCTCCGTTTATGGCAATTTCAGTTTGTATCAGAGTTAAAACGACTCAACCACCACAATGCTGGGTCCTTGTTGTGCTGCAGCTCGAACATGCGTTAAGTTACAGATTGCAGCATTAAAGGAAACTGAAATACCCACTGGCGGCTGATGTCATGATGTCATAAAACTCTGTCACCATGACCGCACCCCGGAGGCCTGAAATGATCATTGCAGCAGCTGCTTTGGTGAGCCACTGAATCCCGTCCTCTCTCAGTAACAAGCATCTACAGCATCAGAAGGTGCAAAATAACAAGGCTCAACAACTGGATAGAAATGTTCTATCTGGTTTAAAATCCCTTCTTTTAAACCACTACTGTAAGCGCTTTGATGCTACCATATTGTGTTACATTGTGCCCCGTTTGAATGAATAGGGCCAATGTGCTACTTCATCAAACCTCCACTTATTTATTCTACAGTTCCTGATATAAAAAAAAACCTTTTTGTATAATTGTTATTATAAATGATTCTCTGTTAGTTGGAATGCCTCGTGGATGCAATGTGGTCCATCTGTATCCATCTCTCAGTGCTTTGAGGTGAGGGTCAGGGTGGAGGAGACACGGAAGATCTGAGGCAGCATGTTGCTCAACTGGTAGAACATCTCCTCTGAGATACTCTGTCGACATGAGAGACACAAAGACAGGGTTAGTGAGAAACAAGGGACTGAAAATACTGAGCAGGGCATGTTAATAATACATCCAGGGTCCATGCGCGGCAATAGATGTGCAGGCACTCAATTCAACTATTTTCTTATAGCTTTTATGACATGTGGAGATACTTCAATAAAGTTTTTTTGCTAGGCTTAAGGGAACCATTGAACCGTTTTTTTCTTGATAAATTGGTTCAGGAATGAGTCTTTAAACCTGGGAATGAGTCAGCATTTGAGCATTCCCAGTTCCCAGGGTCGGCGTCATGGGGGGTCATTCGCGGGGCATGCCCCCGCAAATGAGTCACTGTGCCCCCCCAACGCAGAGCTTTTTTTTATCATATTATAAGTGAAAATGTTTCCACTAAAAGTTTTTTGTGTGGAATAAATCAGAAATAAACAATACAAATAAAAAACACAGCCTGAGGTGTGCTCACTGCTGCTCTTTGATTGGTGTGTTGCTTGACCAATGACCCACGACGAAAGCCCAGTGGCGATCTGCTATGTCCATATGTTTCTGTTTTGGTGGTCGTGCCACAACCATGCATGCCTGCACAAGTCATAGGTGCGCTATAAAATAGCACTACACCCCTGCAATGTGTGTGAAAGACAATAGACTTTACAGCATGTTTTGAAATTGAAGTTGCGTTGGTGTTTGTGTGTTGGTTGTTGACGGCAGTATGTGCCCCCCCGTGGTAAATGAGTTCTAGAGCTGACCCTGCCAGTTCCCTCGTCTTGAAGTCTGAGGTTTTTGAACATGTTTTTGGTTAGAGGCCTTAAATTAGGTCTGTGGTTAACACACTCTTAATAAACTTTTATGTTTTGTTCTACAACGTTAATATACGTCAGTGAATACCCCAGTCGTAAGTGTATGACAATTGAAGGGGACTTTAAAAAAGGCGGTTGCTAACAAGTGGCTAAATGAGAGGCATTTAGCTTAGCTAAATTATGAAAGCGGTGCTAATATGTGGAGAACATTCTGCATGAAAAACATGTAATTATCAAAATCGTTTGTTAACCACAGATCAATATATTTATCGGCATTATTCCATAATCCAATGGTAAAATCCCATTGCTTTTTGTCATGGAACCAGTGCGATGCTAACTTCCAAGTCAGCCTACAATAACTATTCTGCCCATGACAACAGCAATACATCTGGACTGTTTGTGTACAGTCAAGTGTTAACAGCCCCTTTAGTTCAGTGCCCTTCAGTTCAACATCAGAGGATCTTTTTCCCCCCTGAGGGAACAGTAGTCAATACGGCAAAATTATGCAAGCTCGGGCAGCTGTGATTTAAAAGGGGGGAACATGATTTGTCCCTAAGCATCGCCACCTGTCAAATAAGAATGTTAAGTATTAATCTGTAAGCATTCACGCATCATTCACCCACATCCACACAGAGAACAGGGCGTATATTTAGCCGGCGCGTCTCTTTAAAGTGCAGAAAACAATGTTGTTTCAGAAGTTCTATTTTGAAAGTTGTCTGAGCATGTAGCTGAAGCCAGTCAGGGTCCTTTGATGCCGCTGGTTTTATCCTCTTAACCTGCCAACATGAGATTGTGCTTTAAGCTGTGCTGCCTTCCCGACAAACCACAAAAGCTATAGGAATACACATCAAGATAAGCTAAAAAAGAAAAAACAGCTTAGTTTCATCCAGCTCTGTGTCACAACTACCGGTACTTAAAACAAATATGACAGAAAACCTAGCTTCAAAGCTGATGCTGTATGTTCATACATTTACTTTTACATAAAGTTAGAGCTGGATATTCAAGGCAGTCCCAGATTACGCCTCAGTGTTGGGAAGCTACACGCTAATACCATTTCTTATCACACAATTATAGGGATAAGTTTCCAAGCTTTCTTTTATGGCAGTAGTGTAAACATTGGTCAAGAGAACCTAAAGCTCCATAATCTCTGATTAATGGCGTGCTTTTCAAACAGTCTCTCTTATCTGCCTGCATTCAAAGCTAGGTACTGCAAGCCCAGGTGTGCCTTTTGTGATGATGTGTACATGCGAGGCCTTACTGTAAGTATACACTTCTGTTGAATTAACAGAGATCTGCTGGCAAAGCAATACTCGAAGCATGAGTGTGTGTCGAGTAAGCTAAGAGTTGAGGAACCAAAATGACATGTATAAGGCTCTGCTCTTACCTTTGGCACTAGAAACTGGACGGTGCGTGATATTCCTCCATCCCATGAGGCCATTTCCATCATGAAGCCTGCAAATAAAATCAGATTCAAGTTCATTCACATATATCTATCTGCAATGTTCAGTGTATTCTACTGCTGGGTTATGCTACAAACTCACAATAACAATACGAAACATTCAACACGATACAAGTTTATTTTAAATAATGACTATGTCCTACGAATAATTTACTACAAAAACTCTATCTCCCTGGTGCATAGAGTTTTTCATCCATTCTGTTAGTCTAAATGCGACTACTTGTTTTAAATGTTAACATGCACTCTGTGAAATGTTGATTAGTATATTTGCTGCAACCTTTTGGCTTATTGTGCAATGCATCATAGGTTTTTTTATTTTTTTTTAAAAAGGCCTGACACTTTATAAAGCACTCATATATATATTTATTTTTTTATTTAACCAGATAAAAGCATTGAGATAGAATCTCATTTGCAATGCTGACCTGGCCAAGAAGGCAGCAACGTTACACATAACACATAACACAAACATATAAAATACAGAGAACATAACTAAGAAAACAAAAGATAAAAAGCAGTCACTACATTGTGCACATTAGGACAGTAAGAAAGGTGCACTATTTATTACTGCAAGAGCAGCTGGTGGTAAGGACTTCAGACAACTTCAATTTAAAACATGCTATTGAGACAAGTGCCCTCAGTTTTAGGCTTGATTGAAGGTCATTCCAAGACCAAGGACCATAATAAAAAAATACTCCTTTTCCCAGCCTCAGTCGGCACAGCAGGTACCTGGAACCGTATCCAGGCACTGGATCTGAGGTTGTAAGAGTCACAAACTGGAGCAAATCTGGCACATATGTACAGTGGAAGCTTACCTAAAATGGCTTTATACATTAATAAAAAACCAATGCTGCATCCTACGCATATATAAGTGAGGACGATCCAGTTAGGCTTTACAGTTTGCAATGATGAGTCCCAGTGGCGGTTCTACGGGGTGGCACGGGGTGGCAGCTGCCACCTCAGAAAAATGCCTTGCCACCCCAGCGGCCACCCCATTTGGCAGCTTTGTTTTGAAAGAAAAGTTGTGGCTCATCGGACATTTATGAGAGAAAATCTCTAATGTCCGAGTGCAAGTGAATGCAGCACAAGANTATGTTTTAGCTGAATACACGTTTTGTGCCTTGGCAGTCTCAGGTTAGTCATTTCTTTAATGTTTGTTCTTTCTGATGTAAAGTCAAGGTTGTAGCTGTTTGCAATGAAGTTGTGGGGCGCTGAACTGTTCCTTTGATTCTTTTGAATTATGATAGTAATTACTGGTCTTTCAAATTAGAAGGAGGGTGAGCAAGCATCTTGAGGAACATTCATCATTAACTCCTCCAAAAAATATAGTTTATTTAATAATAGCACTGAAGATGTGAATCATAACAGTGATTGACAGCTGATAGGAATAATATGATTGTTAATATTATCATATTCATACAGACACACATCAATGAGACAGTTAATTAATGTATTTATTGCAGCAGTCTGCATATTTGGTACCCCTGCTGGTCTAAGAGTGAGACAAACTCATTCAGTTAAAATTCATTAAATTACGTGTGCCACCTTATATATTTATATTTAAGGCTTTACTGATGTGCCACAATAATCTCACCAAATGTTATTGAGTTAAAATATCAATATTGTGGCTTTCCAAGTTAACATTGATTGATATGACTGCGTTTAAATCAGAATATACTTCTGCCAGGGGATGCCACCCCTCAAATTCTCCTGCCACCCTCTTGCCACCCCATGAATATTTGTCTAGATCCGCCCCTGATGAGTCCTATAGGGTGCATTTGATATATAACGCAATGTAGCATGGCAGAGATATATATGCTCGTCTGCAAAAAACATTGTGGATAATGCAGCACTGCATTTTTTTAAGCACAGCCATAGTTTATTAAGGTGTTATTTCGTTTTTGTAATTATACTCTTTTGTATATCTACCATCCCTCAAGCTGCATCGTCAAGGAGCAACTTTCTCAGTGTTGAGCGATCATTTTTGTATGAATAGTTTACATGCACGGCTAAACTATTTTGCAACTGGCTGTGTGTTGTTTTTTAAATAACAGCTGCCCTAAACTTAAATAGCATATATATGTTTTTCATTAAAATATATTGCCTTACTTACAGTATAGCAAAAATATTGCACTATAATGAATTGACATCACTGTATCATGATACATATCATATTGCACGATTCTTGCAAAATGCACAGCCCTAATAACAACATGTTTCATTCATCAGCTTTGCATTATGGGAAATGAAAAACACTGTCAGTGAACACTGGTACATTTCATCAAAGAAGAACAAAAGTATCCTTTGCTCTTTTAACTTTGAGGGAATGAAAACAAGACCTAATGTTTTAAAGAACAGTAAAAGGCTTCACAGATCTCTGCTGTCAAATGTCAGCTTGGAATTCAAAATAAATCTTCAGTAAAAATAACTTACCTTTGACACATTTGAAAACCAGCTCTGCTCTCTTAAGACACCACGGTATGGTCATCTCCTGCAGGGGTAGGGAAATACAAAGTAGAAAAATAAATAATGCTCAAAATAATAAAAGGCAGAGGAATGTATGTTGGTTACATTGGAGTTGAATATGTTAACTGTTCAAATTGTGTTACATGATTGACCCAACTAGACAGATTCCAACACATGTGTGCAATAGTGTATATATGACATATGAACTGGGTCAAAAGTCTCCTGTAATGTGACTGTATCTAAATTCAACATGTTTAAAGAGCAGGCATGTTTTCTGCACGCCTGTTTCCAGTCTGCTGCACACAGTGACCTCAGCAGGAAGTAATCTCTGCACAACCTATGATCACAGCGTCAGAAATTAGAATCACAACACATTATTTATCTGGGGGAAATGGGTTTAGTGACAGTCACTGACAATATTTTATTTGTTTATATATATAAATAAATACAAATATTTATATAAACATTTACTTCAAAATAAGAGTGTGCAACAAAGGGATACAATAATATAAAATTAAGAAGTTATGGTAAAATGCCCCACATAATGTCCAAATAAAACCCCCAAAGATATATGACATGTTCATTAGAATATGCATTGTGTGCGTTAGTAGGCTGAATCAGTTAAAATGTCTCTGCCACTCACATGCCTTTCTCCCACTTTCGAGTGTTTTGCACCCATTCGGAGTCAACAAACTGGGCGATGGCAGGGTGTCATCGATGCCCAGGCTAAGACCTGTGTTTACTGTGTTACCCACAAACTATTTGCCCTTAAGATAAACTGAGCAATGGATCCTAACAATAGGATAGTATAGAGTCAAGTTTCATGAATCAATTTCAAGGCATGTCGTTTTGGCATTTAAATTTCTCTTTTAACAATGCAACATAAATGTATGCAAGACTTTAAACAATAAAAATAGTGCAAGGAGAAACAGAAAGATATATAAAACAGTGCTGGAGGCTGTTGCAAGTGACCAATGTGCAAATAAAAGACATAAGTTAACTATATACATTGAGAAGACAATACAAAGTGTTTCCCACAGAATTTGATTCTATTTGTGGGCACCCCCACCTCCCGGCAAGAAAAACCAAAGGCCCCTTAACCTATTCGGTTGGCCCACGCATCCACCACCCTCAAATAAGAAAAGGATCTGTGGGGTTTATTCTCCCAAAAATAGAATTTACAATTCAGGCATTTAGCAGACACCTCATTCCAAAGCGACTTACAATGACCAATTACAGGGACATTCTCCCTGGGCTAAGTGCCTTACTCGAGGGCACAATAGTGGTGGTGTTCCAGGCGGGATTTGAACTCGCAACCTCCCGATCATCAGCCCATCTCACTATCCATTAGACTACCATATCAGATCCATTTGACCACCATATCAGATCCATTTGTGGCGGGCGATATTTATTTGTGGCGGCCCGCCACAAATAAATCAATGAATGGGAAACACTGCTGCTTATTGTAATAATAAAACAGTCTGTTTCTTATTAGTACTGAGGTAGGAACAAGTGCTGTTGTTGCACAAGGAAAACGTAAGGCTGTCTCTGTCTTTGCCAAGCAATTGAGGCAATTGTTTTCAACCAGACAAATTAACATAACAAATGTTTTACCTGTCACTGTTTGGAAACTTAAACTTTTATCTAGTTGGTATAATATTCAATTTCCTCTCTACAAACTTTTAATCATGTATTTCAGCATAATTACGCAATTCTCCGTTCCTTTTTCCACAAAATCTCTGGGGAAACAGAAACAGATGTAAACATAAGACTAAGAGGCACAGCTCTGTTGTTCTTTAAATAGGCGTGTCCAAACAGGCACACATCTGCACTAAATGGCAAACAAGACTAAAGAGAAGATGACACAGGAGAAAGTGTGGAAAAAGTGGAACCAGAAGTTATCAATTAAAGCTCATCAGGTTCCTGAGGCTTCAAAGGTTAGAAGTCTTTGGTTATTCAAACAAAGACTTGGACATGAGAAGATCCATGAGCGCGCCACAGACAGTCTTAATGAGAATTTGCACTCTCATGTTCCGAATAACCCAGCTTCCCCCAAATATCTTTTTGGTATCTATCTACGCCGGGATCCTGAGTCGTGGCTAATCCTATTGCTGCGGTCCTGAGTCCTGGATCGCGAGCCCTGGATCCTGAGTCGTGGCTGTGCCTGTTGCTGCGGTCCTGGATCCTGAGTCCTGGATCCTGAGTCCTGCATCCTGATTCCTGGATCCTGAGTCGTGGCTGTGCCTGTGCTCCTGGATCCTGAGCCCTGGATCCTGAGTCCTGCATCCTGAGTCCTGCATCCTGAGTCCTGCATCCTGAGTCCCGAATCCTGAGTATCCTGAGTCCCGCATCCTGAGTCCCGCATCCTGAGTCCCGCATCCTGAGTCCCGGATCCTGTGTCCCGGATCCTGAGTCCTGGATTTCGAGTCGTGGCTAAACCTGTCTCTGCGGTCCTGCCTGACTCTCATCATTCTACTTCTCTGATGCCTCCCACAGGATTGTTGACATCCTCGTGGATTCATCTTCTTATTATAGACACACGCATTTCCAAACATTTGTTCTACCTATGTTGCAAATATATTATCTCTTCGATTTACACACGGCATCTATTGCACGTCTGTCCGTCCTGGGAGAGGGATCCCTCCTCTGTTGCTCTCCTGAGGTTTCTCCCATGTTCCCCTTTAAACTGTGGGTTTTCTCTTGAAGTTTTTCCTTGTACGATGTGAGGGTCCGAGGACAGAGGGTGTCGTATTGTCATACTGATATTCTGTACAAACTGTGAAGTCCACTGAGACAAATGTAACATTTGTGATATTGGGCTATATAAATAAACATTGATTGATTGATTGATTGATTGATTGATTGATTGATTGATTGATTGATTGAATGTACCTTCCCTCTAAAGAAATGATCAGATTATGATGTATAAATGTTTCTAAAATGTCTAATTCCATCAAATTCCAGCAGATTTTCTTTTCCGTTCCAATTTACATATACTATAAGAGAGAAATAATCCTTATTGTGTATTTACCAAATGTCTTTTTGATTTGGACTCAGGTCATAACTGTTTAACCTGGTTTCAAACCTGGTAAATGTGAAGTTCAAGGCCTAGGATGCCGCGAGCGCACTAGGATGAAGAGGAAGAAAAGAGGACTTTGTCAAGAGCCACGAAAATGTGTGTAACTAGTAATCTTCCCATCCACAAATAATTACCACTGCTTATGTTAAACATAGAGGTACAAGACCAAAGCACATAGAAGTACCATAATATGGTTAAAGTGTAGGCCACTTTGGGGAAACCAGCAAGAGTAAGGTAGAATTTAAATGTTTAGAACCAAAATAAATCCCAGCCTCTCCCTTCAGGATTCTGTCTAAAGTCGTTTCCCAACTAAACTAACTGCATCCATGAGACAAGTACCCCATGTCTCATTCACATATGAAGAGTGAGGAATCTTTTTCTGTGGCAGCACCGTTAGATACTAGCCGCCAGCTCAGCCAATGTCCAGTTACAGTGGCCCTATTATGCTTTTTGCGGTTTTACCTTTCCTGTGTTAAATATGTTTTTGTGCATGTAAATGGTCTAAAAATGCTAAAATCCCACAAACTCCCCCCCTGCCTGAAACGCCATGCAGTATGAGAAAAATACTGAACACTAAAGCATGAAAACATGTCACAGCAGAGGTACAAAGTGAATATGATCCTAAACATGAGTATAATAGGACTCTTTCAAGTATTGTATTCAATTTGGGCTTAATTATTCCCTTGAGGTATCTTATTACTAAATATTACAATCCCTAAGAAATGTGCTTTGACGCTGCTGGAGAAAGAATGAGTGTTGGATCACGTTTCACGGTGCTCTCAGCTGCTCTCACCTCTGACATGTCGTGGACCAGCAGCAGAGGGACGGTAACCGTGGTGACGTCGTGTGTGCAGCAGACCTTCAGGATGTTCCTCAGCCCCATGATGGCCGGGTCTCGCGCCGTGATGTTTCCTGAACGCACATTATCGTCCACACACAGGTGGAAGACAGCATGAACCTCGGACAGGTTGGAGTGCCGCGAGATGTAAAACTCACCTTGAGGAAGGAAGAGTGTAAAATATTACATTATGCAAAACTACTGTGGTCAGAAAATAATATTGCTAAATAATGTGGGATTAATGTATGAGAGATTCTTTGCTCTGTTAGTCCAAAAAAGAGTCAGTTTACATATTGATGGGTATTGATTACCTGGTAAGATGTTGGATGGATTTCTTTCAACATTTTTGTTCTTATCGTCACTTCCATTCCTTGGTATCTCTGTAAGGATAAACATTGAAAATACAACAAAAGTAAGCATGTCAAATGGTGAAATTGATCAAATAAATAAATGTGCATAAATGTCTTCTCTGTGTCCAAGCTTTTGATTGTTTGGAACAGTGTTTCTCAAACTTTTTCATACCAAGGACCACTTAACCAATAAAAAAAAACACTCGCGGACCACCTAACTCCACAAATATCCAAAAACGTCGTTTTTTACAAATCGCCTGAAAATGGTACAAACAAGTGGCAACATGTGTGATGAAGGTGTTTGTCTGGGCTATATCATGCAATCGAAAGTGAAACTTAAGCTCGCTCCATTGCGGAGATATTCCCGCGAGAGTGTGGAAAACTTTAATTAATTAATTAATTTCAAATTTGAAATGTTACCAATATACTCACGGACCACTAGGGGGCGCTCACGGACCACCAGTGGTCCGCGGACCACACTTAGAGAAGCACTGGTTTAGATAAATGTAAATCAAGAAACAGTTTTGAGGACTTCTGTCTTGCCTTTCGCTTTCTTATCATCTATGAATGTTTGGTCTACATTATACTGTAGCTGTACCGGAGCAGCCCAGTCTCACCTGGCTGTTCTTTCTGCTTGCTGCTCCGCTGGGCTCGGGCGTAGAGCAGCACCTGCTGCACCTCGTCCAGCTGTGCCTCCAGGAAGGGAAAGTGGAAGTCTGTACACTCCTTCGCCACAGTTGCAAATTCTGACAAAAAGACAGGGATGAAAAGATGCATCAAATAACAGTTATAAAGCCAGGGCTCTTCTTTGTTACCATGTCTCCAAGGGTGCTCCGATTAAATGGCTGATATTCATTCTGAATAGTTTGATCATTGTTCTATATAAAGGCTAATCAGAAGAGCCAATGAGGTGACACATCAATTAAAAGAATGCCAATTCTCATTTGCCTGTTTTTTTTGCCTGCTATATATAATAATATAATCTGATTTAAAGAAATTGAAGATCATTTGCATTCCACACTTGCCAACCTTAATAGTTTTTCTGTTTTGAGAGAGTAAGAAAGTTTATAGCAAAAGAAAAGACAAGCTTGTTTACCAGCGCTGAGAAATGGCATATTTTTGTCCATGTAATCGGATCAGCCAATGCGGTTTCTTGCGATCGGTGAAGGCCACAATAATTCTAATCAGGGCACCCCATGCTGTATTGCATCTCTAAAAGGATAAAGTGTCTGTTCTTTAAATAAATAAATAAATAGGAGTGAAAGAGTAGTGTAATCCTCACAGTAAAAGTGAGAGGTAATCAGTGAGTTGTGAGTAGAACCAACATAATATCAGAATTCACTGGTGGGAAAATGTAACACTGTTAGGAGGCCAACGAAAATGTTCATCTTCCTTCAAAACGTCACCAACAATTTTTCTGAATATAAAGTATGTCCCCCTGACCTCTCTTGATGCCGCTGTAGGAGTTGACCCTGTTGTCCACCAGCAGCACCAGCCCACAGAGGGAGGAGGAGTAGAGCGACAGGGCCGTCTGCAGACGCCTCAGCTTTGCCCCCCCGCTGCTGTGCTGACGGTGTTTACAGAAGTCCAGCACGTCGGCCCGGACCAGCCGCAGGTTGTGCATCGTCTTCAGCTGGGCCCCTGAACACAACATATATATATATATATATATATAGATAATGAATACACAAGGATACATTTAGCACAACACTACTGTAGTTCAAAACAAGTATGCTTCTCATGAATAACGACATGTCTAAGTGATTTATGCACGTGGTAACCGACATTTCAAATGGCACAAAATGGTGTGAAAACACTACGCTAGAAGTGCACCTAGGTGTATGGTGAAGCTCTCCTCCAGCTGAGGCTGCTCCTCAAACATCCGGGCCCCGGGGTCTGCAACCTCCAGCAGCTGGCTGGGCTGCACCTTGATCTCCTCCCTGGGAACCAATCGTGCAAACAAGACATTTATCAAAAACAGCGTGTTATATAGGGTCAGGGAAGAATCTGAAAGCATTTCATCCAGAAAAAAAGTGATAAACACATTATATTTTCACATCTCGGGCTGCACCATTTGGTGAAAAAGTCCTATTGCGATTATGTTGACAATAAACTGATGGTATCATTGGTTCACAAAGATTACTGATCATTTAGAAAATTTTATTGCATTGAAAGCCATATCAACCAACTTAAAGTCTCAGATCAAATACAAAAATGTAAACACGGTTTTATAATTGACTTAATATTTCCATTAATAAATACAAAATATTTTTTATTTTATTTCAAAATGAAAGCATTTCTGCTAACTCTTTAGGTTTAATCAACACTTAAACAATAAATATCAACACTGTTTTCTTAATGTTTGGTGCATTCCTTTGGATAACGCAGTGTAGCATTTTAGTTTCTTTGTTTACATTTGTAACCCTATATACTAGTTGGATTTTCTCAAAATAATGTAGTACACACTTTGATGACAAGCATTTTTCGGGATTTAGCATTTAACTTACAAAACATTTTGAATATCAAAGGAATCACCAAAATCCATTCTGATTTCCTTCATGCTTTAAGCTTTGGGAATGCATATAAGTGTTGAGGTCAAAGTATTAGGTTCCACCCTCGCATAATAACACAATGATATTCATCATTAGAACAAAAACAATGCATACTCAGCACTTTGCCTGAGGAGCTCTTAGCCTACAGGTCCCGGTGGTGTTTGTGTTTTGAAGGAAAATCCAATATATGCAGAGGAGAGTATGACCAGCACTCTGCAGGAGCACATCACTGATAACCACTATTAAGATTTCTCCCCAACTCTTATCCCAATGTCAGTCCAAATGGGGCTGCAGAGCTGAGTGTCAATCAAACTAAGAGGAGTTCTTGACCTCACTTTAATTTCTATGTAAATGAGCTGTGTACTTCAAAGCAGACACGCTGTGTGTTGGGTTAGTTCTGCTGCAGAAGTGTGAGTTATAGGGGTGTTGATTCTTAAAAACAATAGTTGAATTATTGATTTACATGTAAAGATTAACTCAGTCTACATGTTACTTTACAGCCTGAAAAAGTAAATTTTTTCAGAGGTTATGATTGTGTATTCTTTATACTATAAGAGTTTTGTTAAACAACATTGTAATGCTTAAAGTGTAGCAATATATTGAACGTTTTTTTAAAGCATTTGATTTGGTCACTTTCATACAGTTTAACAGGCCCCTGTCGTCACTTAAATCCCTCTTTAATGTCACTAATTCTCCTGAGCTAGCTAATCATTGCGTTTACATCTCGCTCTGTTAAAAGCACAAGCCTTCATGAGTAGATGTACGCTGCGTTCTGTGCAGTGATACAGTGCAAAGAAAGTAGTTCCTACATAAAGCTGCTGACAACAACCTCTGTGGAATATCCTGAGTAACTGTGTTATGATTTCTGGAAAGAGACATTGCTGTTTAAGTTTTTTATTGTGTTTTTGGCACCACCAGAAAAAAGCCCCATCCATTATAAGGGAGAGAAGGAAGAAATCTTTACAACATATATATCAACAATGGCCAACTCACACAAAGAATGTAGATTGACAAAAAGCACTACAGGTAAGAGGAAAATGTGCATTTTGAGGCGAACTGTCCCTTTAAGCTGAACTTCAACCCCACACTTAGTGCCATTAGGTGCGTGCATTTCAACAATGGTACTTCAAACATTGTATTCATTCATTCATTCTTCTATGCACAGTAGCTTTTAACTGACCAAAGGAAGGAACAAAGCACCTGACTCAAGAGTAATTATGTTGGATAAACACCAGGGGGGTATACTACGAAGCAGGATTTTCGTTTAGCAAGATAACTTCTGGGATTTCCGGTACTACGAAGCTGGTTCACTTTTTAGCGGGCTAGATCTCCATGGTGACTTATCCTGGAACCTAGTCTGTGCTCCGAAGCAGGATATGTTCCAGGATAAGAGATCAACTCAGCGAAAGCACCACGCCTGCTGACCAATCAGAGCTCAGTCTGCGGAGGAAATACAGTTTAAACTGCCGTTGCAGGAAAGACGGCCGGCCAAAATCACCGACTGTGTGAACGTGAAAATGAATAGAATATCACCTCCCATCTTCAGAGCAATCGGACTATTAACTATTATTATACTATTATGTTAAGAAAGCTTAATTAAATATCTGCCACAACATAAGTAACCAGATCAAAGTAACATTACGTAGCCTACAGTCCACAGCACTGTGAGTGCAGACGTCGATGTGTCCCATTATCATTCATATCACATCATATCACATGCATCATAATGTATCATATATTTCCTTATCTGAGTCAGCCGAGCCGTATCTGGCCGTGCAAGTTGACGAAACACTCGAGTCAAATGTAATTAAAGTCAGATCCACTCATAAACCTGTTAATGCACATTCAAACACTTTTTCTTTTACCAGCTGTATTCACCTTGCAGGTGCAACTATGTGGCTTTTATCCTGGATAAAGTGTTTAAGTCATGGATGTTTAAAGTTTAACTTCTTCATATTTGACTAATATTATAGTTGACTTTTCATTCAGGAAGTATGACGCTGTGCTGTCAGTATTCTTCTCCATGTTTGTGATTGGTCGAATGCTCCAGATACCACCCCTTTCATGTGAACGCGCAC